ACACAATTGCATGAAACCCAAACAAGAAGATACACATTGATGCACGTACCGAAATAGAAAGAGATGTGCTGATTTTTTTTCTATGCTCTCTTTTTTTTTATTCCATTATTATTATTATTTTTTTGGTGTCTCTCTATTCTATTTGTGGAGACGAGAAAAAAGTTTTTCTATATCAAGCGAAACTTTTTCACCACCATTCGTTTTGCTTCGCTTCGATTGTTTGTTGAAAGTTTGAATTTGTTCTTTTTCTTTATTTTCACATAATTTTTTTTATTTTTCTCTCTCTCAAATGAATTGATTGTGACGATACAGTCACAAATTATTATTGAAGTGAATCGAAAATTATGATTTGAACGAAAAAACAACACGAATAATAAATAGACATAAAACAAATAAGAATTTGTAGCAAATAAGAAAGAAGGGAGAACAAACAATGGAAATGTGGGAGAGTCGGTAGTGCTTGCGAGTTACGACCGCGAGTTTCCAAAATGTGTAACTAATGGATTGAAATATTCCAAGAAAAGTCAATCATTTGATTTATCTATCTTCAATCGCACAGACCAAGACATGGCACATATTTTGTTGAAGCGTCAAAACAACGCACTTCTGAATGATTGAAGTAGAAGTAAAAGAGAGAAGGAGAGAGAAAGAAAGAAAGAGACAAAGTTGTTAGACGGGAGAACACATTGTTATTCATTTGAGCTAATTCAATTTGACACCTGCATTGTTTGACACTTGTCAAGACCCCGACTGTCATTCATTCATTCGCTTCTCCTTATTTCAACTGTCTGCGTTTCATTGCATGTAACAATGTAAAGGCACGTTCCGAAACAATGAGCACACTAATGGAAATGCTATTCGAATCGATGGCATCTAATCAACAAACAGGAAGAATATCGTGCGAAGACGAACAATGTCAACAGCCAATGGTGAGCACCTGAAGCGAAAGAAAAACATAAAATCCCAATTGAAGTGAATGAAATTAACTTAAATGAGAGAGCGAGAGAAATGTGACAGCGTCGCATTATGGCAGTCGAGAACGAGAATCAGATCAGCGGGGGGAGATATGAATCGCCTCTGGTAAAATGATCATGTCATCAAAACATTGCTCGTATACATTGAGTAAGTGAACTCTCGATTGTATGCTTGACATTTTCGCATGCACCATATGCAATCGAAGCAATAACAATATTTTTTTCTTGTTCACGCAATTTAAAGAATACGGATTGGTGAGATGCGGGTGCGTGTACTGCCGAAATTTACGTTTTTTCCACTTTTTTCACCATTGAATATAACAATATTATGCAAATGAATTAACCAATTTACAATCGACAAAATATAACCAATATTCAAACATATGTAAGTTGTGATCATTATTTTTCCATTTAATTTTATTTCAATTGGCCATAAAAAAAAATTATTATGAACTACTCACCATGTCGGTTATCGCTTGAGTGCTTTTCACTTTTGCACGAAAATTAGTGCATGCCCTGTGAAAAATTGTCGATTGTCAATGCAGTTATGCCTTTATACTTGTCTATTTATGCTTATTTTATCCTACCGGCACATTATTGCACTTGGTTCGCGGCGTAACGACAGTCCGCCTAATGTCATCATGCGGTTAAATTGATTTTTATCGTTTAAAGATGTTCAACATGCATGAACGATGTCAAGCGTCGAATAAATAAACTATTCAAAATGCGTATTCTCTCTACATTTTTTATGAAAATCAAATGAATTCTTCTAACGTGTACACAGCACACAATATGCTCACCGAATAATTGCAGCAGGAACGGTTTGAATGATTGGCATATTCAAATGGCGAAGCTCATTCAAAACAACTTTTTCGATTTCTTATTAAATACTTATTCTCTTTTGTTCAGCATCTCACAAAATATTTAATGCATACTGGTTAATGCGACTCATTAAGCGTTGATTTCAATCTTTCAAAATGCATCAAATTAATTTTTCGAACATTTTGTTTTGGAATTCGTCGGTTTGCATTCACAGCGAGAGTGAAAAGGAAAATAAATCGTAATAACGTTGGTACGAGACGGGAATTTTTTTAATATGCACAAAAACATCGCAGAAGGAAAAAAGAAATATTGAATAGGGAAAAAAATCGGTGCGATTGGTTTAACATGCAAAATAAATACAATAAAATTGTTGTGGCATAATAACATGAATGCCGACTGAGCAGTTGTAGAATAATTTATATTGGGGTTCAACCAAATGTACATATGTGTGCATTTACTAGAATTTATGCCAATTTCACAATGAGACCCCGATTCGAACGAATGTTGTTCATTTTTATTAATGAATAATCTGCATATTTTACGCGTTTTCGCAGCATTCACATATGTACCGGACACTCCAACAATTCAAGTGCACACGTACACATGCACGCTCCTCGGCATTCAGGGACGTTTGCATTTCTTTCCATAAAAAAAAGAGGAGAGGAAGAAAATCAAAATATCGAATATCTATTAAAATCTTGATGCAAATCCAACAGAGAACAAAATATGTAAAAAAACGACAACTTGTATTGAGAATAATAATGATAGGTTTGAATGGCCAACAAACAATACTGAAAAGAGAAATGTAAACGATACCAAGCATCCATCCCGTTTAGATTTGCCCGGTGTATTGCCAATGCTAAGAGCATGTTTTACATTTATCACCACCAGTTTTTCGTTCGAATGCAAATGCGAATGGTATGCTCAAAACGGGTTCACTGGATGGAAAAAGATGAAAAAAAGCAACAAACACACACAAAAAAAATATCATGATGATTATTATGGCATTCGAGCGAAATAAAATGCGTAAAATTTACAGAGAAAACCAAAAATTCAATGAACATTTTGACTTGCATTCACTTATTGTACATATTCCACATGGTCTGTGGTGTTTTTACTTCCCCAACAACATCGACAACATCATAATCATCTCTTACATACACGGTGAATTGTTCCCTTCAGCTGGATGTCGTGTATAGCATTGCTGATGATTGTTTTCATTGTGTCCGGCCAACGGCGCATGTGTTTGTTGTTATTTCGAATGTTACCATGTTTCACAATCCATGCTACCGCTGACTATTTGCCATTGCGTTGCACACAAACACACCAATACCAATGTTGCGTACTTCTACCGCGTGTATTCTGTGATGCGTACATGCATTCAGGCATATAGTGATACACACCAAAAATACACACACGCACGTGTATGCATCACAGTTTGCACAAATGATTAAAGCTTCTCGGTTTAGTTTCTTCGTCAACGTTTCAATGAGTTTGTTGTATTCTATTAACCGTATTATATACATATATACGGTTGATTTTCCGTTCTCTGTCACATTGTACGTGCTCTGTCTAATTGCAACTATTATTGTTGTTGTATGTTATTGCCTTAGTTCTTTCCATATGAGTATCTTCATTAACAAATGACTAAGCGCCTACAAAAGCATGTTTTGGCACCGTGCACAAATTGAAATTGCACATTTCACATGTTTCATAACACATTCACACCGTATGTGATTTAAAAATCTCTTTGATTATGACACACATACGGCTCATGTATCAATTGCACTTGAACGAGTACAAAATTCATAAAGAAATAATAAAAATGCTTGAATAAATGAATGGCGATGAGAAATGCTTGTCAAAATATTGGCACTTATTCCAAAAAAATAAATTGAATCTTGTCGATTTCAAAGTCAATTTTGAATGAAGATTCGCAATCGAAGTTCAGTTTGTTCTCATTTTCTTGTTGTGTGGAACGGAAGAGAGAAGTTGAAGCAGAACAACGACAACAAAAACAACGAAAATGTAAAATAAGGATTGGCCCAGATTTGAATGTCGAAGGGCGAACAGGGTATTCATGCCGAAATATATTGTATCATAGAACATATATAGAAATCTATAGATGATTCTTTATTCACATCCGAAAGAAGTTAGTGAACGATATCACAGCAGCAGCAAAGAGAACGAAAACAACAACAAACATTTACATGCTAACAACGGTTCATATCATATAATACGATGTGCTCCCACTATCACATGTAGCGATACTATAGTATAATATATAGCATAGGCCAGCATCGGCGCAATACAACACACATCCAACAATTTGGCTTGTGGAATCTGGTGTTCAGTGGATGCGTTTGCTATATCTCGCTCTTTTTTCATTCAATTGAATGCGTTCCATCTCTGTTATACGTTCGCTTCCTCGCTTGTTCGCATTGTGCATGTATTTGTGTATTGAATGCGTCATGCATACAATTGTACGTGTGAGGCGAGTTTGAGTCTGTGTGTACAATTCCGTGTATCGACTCTAATTTGACGTATGTACACAAAAGTTCAGCTTGTACACACGGCATACGAAGTGTGTAGAACGAAACAAAAAGCAGCGCAACAACTACACAGCGGTTTTGACTGTTAGGTCAGTCTAGTCGCAGAGTTCTACATTGATGGATAGAAATCTGCAAGTTTCGCTCTCGTAATAATCGTTTGCATGTAACAACCAAACCGATTTTCATCTTGTCGTAAAATTTACAACGGAACCGTGTCAATTGTGTGTATATGTGTAATACAAATGACAAACAACACAATCCGATTTACATTAAAATCTCGTGTATATTTCGCGCGAATTTCCGTTTTATCAGCGTACGCTTTATTCGCTTTGTTCAAACGCCAAAAAGTCCATTACACATTTTGACCAAATAAAAAATGTTTGTTTGCGGTAAAAAGCGATTTTCTTGAGCCACGTCATTCAAATCGTCTGAATTTTTTTTTCGAACATTTTTGCAAAGAATAATTTTTATATCGAGTGAATAAATAGTAAAGAGAATAATTTTAACATTTGTTTACCAACAAATCAACGGCATTTTGAAAATAATTTATATTACGGAAAACAGTTACATCACTGGAACAGTCAGTGCAGTTATTGGTGTGTGGTTTGATGATTAAAAACGAGATAAAAATTTTTTTGAATGCATGAAATTATTCCATGAGTAAAAAAAGCCAAAGTTCACAAAATTTTGGCAAATCAATTGAAATAATACAATAAAAGTTTTTAAATCAAATTATATGCAACAGATAATTAAAAATTTAACGGAAATATTTCTTCTTTGAAACTGAAAATTTTGACTTTGATCGCCCGAGCAACACATACAGCGCTAGTGGTTTTTTGTGCAGATTTCTTTTCTTCGTGTTTGTTTGCATTTTATTTGCTACAATTCGAAATCTAACTGATTTGGGTGCTTGTGTGCAGTTGCCATTGCTTTTGAAAATTACATTTAGAAAATTATTGGTGTAGAATAAACAGGAAAGAAAAGCGAAACAGAAACAAATATATAAAACAAGTTAGTAGTAACAAACTATAAGCACTAAATATCGAAATAATCGTGTGTATTAAGCCACATTGCATTTGCTTTGTTCGAACTGTAACATTATTATCAACAAAACCAACAACAACAAATCAGACAACGTTTTTTTTTTAATTTTTCAACGACTTTCCGTAATTTCAGCGAAAATACAACGAAATAAATAAAACATCAGCAAATGAGCAACGGCAGCAAATAAACAATCAAACGAACACAATTTTAATAAGGTCGTTCGTTTACAGTTGCATAGAGTGCAATCGAATTACACACGTACACAAACAACAATAAACGATTTAAACGAAGAAGAAATTCATCAAGTCAACAGTAACCATAAAACAATAAAAACAACAATTTCTCTCTAATCTTATTTTGGTGTGCACACGTAGACGTTGATTTCAGTTCAAATTCAACACACTATCGATACAAGTAAATAAACAATAATAAAACAATTTTCATCTTGAGATAGATTTAGAAATGGTGTATATGTGTAAATGTGCGTTTTTTCAGTCTTCGAGTGTTCAATCGATTTGAATAGATTTCGCGATAATTTACACGCAAATCTACCAGGCTTTTATTAAAACAAAGAAAAACAATAGACTTTTATCGACTTGCCAAAGGGCAAAGGATATACGCGACAAATAAAAATCGATTTCGTTTGTGAGTAAGAATGTGAATTTACTTATAATCAAATTTCTCTCGCTGTGTCTGTGTCTATAATATTAAATTAATATATTCAATGCAAAAATAAATAAATAATACAAAACAACTTAAAAGCTGTTGTTGTCATCATGGTTGTCGGTAAATTAATGCCGACTATGTGCGTGTGTGCATGTTTGAGGTTGTAAAAATGACGGTTATCAGAGCACAAGAAATATGGCATGAAATTATCTAAGCAAAATAGAGCCTAATTATTTTCAAATCCCAAAACAAATTGAAAAACAATCAAAACAGAATTCTAAACAATGCAAGAGTATATGTGTGTTCATGGCAATAGTATTTTGTTTTTTGAGATTTTAAATCTGCTTCAAGCCATTTACTCGTTTGTTTTCTGCCATTTCCTTGCTGTTTCTCCTCAGTTTATATTTGGTTTTTGCTTGAAATGCAATGAAGATGATTTTTGCATAACGTCCAAACGATTAAATTTATTTCATGCGGTTAAGAGGTTCGAGGAAACAACTAAACGACCCAATAAATTTGCAAAATGAATACGTAGACACACACACACATATAACATAGAGAGACAGAGAGAAAAATACCGAACCGTAAACTTTATGATTGTTTCAAATTTGCCTCAATGGCCAACGAATAGATAGCAGAAAAGAATAACAACTTAAAGTTCTGCTTACCTACGCTAGCCTGAGAGTCATAATTAAATACAGAATTGGAATGAAAAAGACAATCCCATAGTTATAGTTATATATAGCTTAGCGAATGTTGAAAGGAAAAAAAAAACCAGCGAAGAGAAGTATACAGCAGCAGCAGCAGAATCAGCAGTAAAAAACAACAACCTGGCACAAGCCGAACAGATGTAATGTGTGCGCGTGTAACAGATGCAAAGATTGATATAGATAGAAAACACAAAATAAAGTGCAAAATACCCAAAATCAACATTAACAATAACTTGAGTAAATACAAGCAAAGAGAACGATATCTCTAGTACATTTTGTGTGTATCATTTGAATTTGCTGGGCCCCAGTTAACGATTTGAATGTTGAACACACACACACACATCATCGCAATGTGTATTCGCGCTTTTTGCATACTGTCTGTGTAAAGTAATTTGTATTGCAACACCCGACAAGAATAAAATCCTCAATTCTACATTTTGAATATACATTTTAAGTCACTTGATGATTGTGGTAATAAATAAATAACAAAAAAAAAGTAAATATGAACGATACTGAATCTCTCTCCATTTCTTACTTGCTCGGTCGCATTCTCTGGTTCTCAATCGTACACAAAATCAAAAGACAACACAAAAATTCCAACAACACAACAAACCAAAACGGCTGATATGGATGCAGCTGCAGAATTTTAATTCAAACACCACTTAGTCAATTTCGGTTTGGGTTTGCACTCACTCATCGGTTCGATGTAGTTTGTCTTTGGCAAAGCAAAAACCATACACAAACAGCTCGATTTTTTTGTTTGGTTTGGTGTTGTTTTGGCTATTGAACGAAACGTGATCCTTATTGTGCTGTCTGTTCAAATTAAATAAGCAAATTAATGAAGATAATTTTTGGGTATTAATCATTCTCATGCGGAAAATCACTTAAAAACTCGCATAACGCGAGCAAAGTAGAGAGAAAGAATATATCGTGTACATCGAAATAAATTCGTTCGTTATCGATTGATTGAGTTAAATGAGCGAAATAAAAATGTTGTGTACACCGTTTGTCATTGTCGATGATTGCCATGGGGGGCGTAGGAAATTTGTGCACCTTCTATTCGTATTCGATTCGAATATCAGTCAAATAAATTCAACTGCTGGAATTCACGCCGTGTGTCAGTGCAAATTAACGCCCGATCGCGTGCTCGTTTACGCTTCCTTTCAGGAAATCACAGACGGGTTTCGTTCACTTGCGCTACACACTTTTCACACATAATTTTTAGTTAAGAAATTAACAACTGCATCTCAATCGTCATGAAAATAGATATAGATACAATTCGAAAGAGCGAGTATGAAAGAGAAAGAAATATTAAGACAAAAAGTCAGAGAGCCAGAGAGTTTCAACAGTTTCCAGTCAGTTGCTGCCCAATAAATCTCAATCAACTCTTAACCAAAGAGACACACGATAAAAAAAAACAGTGCATTTTGCATTCATTTATTGCTCGTGGCATGTTACAGTAACATGGTTTTTGTCGAGGCATTTCTCGTTCGATCACTCTTTCTCTCTTCCCTCCGCCTCTCTCTATCTCTCTACCTTTAGCCAATTTGACTAAACAAAATTGTGAAATCGAACCAATGTATCAGACATACTCGTGTTGCTAGAAAACGAGAGGGAGAGAGATGCAAATTGAAATGACGATTGGCGAGCAAACACATGGCAAACAGTGAAATATCTAAAAGAAGGCAACGAAAAATGCACCTTCATTACAAATTGCTATAAAATCTGATCGAAAAGGTAAACACATGACAAAAATGCAATTCCGAATATGAAGTGACGTGTATGTCGATTGTCGGACAGTGTTGAGTCACCCGTGATTCGCGTTGTAACTACAGCTCTCTCGTTTTTTCCCATTCATTTTGCTCGAACAATTTGTAATGGTCGCGTGTGCCTAACGCGCATTTAAAATGGCAACGCTCAGAACTAGTGATAGCACACACCGTCTGTGTAATTACCTGAGTCTGTGTATGCTATGCCACATAAATTTAAAGGCGATTTCAAGCATTGAACGATGGATTCGTCATCGTATGCGCGTTGTTGTTGCTGTTGCTGTCGTCGTCGTCACCGTCATCGTCAATTTTACTAATAAGCCTGCTCGATTGTGCGCTCGAAAACCAAAAACGCACAAATGTTATTGATTTTAATCGATACATTACTATGCCACCGAAACGTATCCTGCATATTTTAATTATTTATTAATTTTCTATTTGGGCGTGTGCGCAATTCTTGTGTTATAGTAACGTTGATCGAATGCCGCAAATGGAAGATGAAACGAGCTAATAATTGAGTAACCATATATAACAGTCGCCACAGAATCTCGTATCATATAATAAACGATAAAAGAACTTATCAAGTGCTCACTACTGCAGCTGCTCTAAGCGAGAATAAAAAAAAAACAACCACACAGAATACATTTATAAAGCAACCGATAACACAAAAAAAAAACATTGAAAACGCAGCAAAGTCAACACAAAAGAAACGCACCGATCGGCTGAATACAAAACAGCTGAATATCAATATTTTCTTTGTTGTTAGCTTTTTCATTTGTGCAACATAACGAAGCCAAACGAATAAAAAAGAACGAAGAACTGAGAAAAAAAGCAGGAAAAAATTTCGTTCGCTTACTTTTTTCATTAGTGAACTGCGTGATTTAAATAAACCGTAACCATTCTGTCGCAACTGTTTGAGCCAAGCGCCAGGATTATTTCGCTTGAAACCGGCAAAGTGACAACAAAGTGTAGGTGTTTTCCATTATATTATCGATACAGCTCCCATCACACTTTTTATGTATTTTTTTTTCTTCATCTCTCTTCATTCATTTTCTTATGACGATACATATTTTTTAATATCTTCAGCCTCGTTCTTTTCTGTATAACAGAATGTCTATGTTTGTTCGCCCTTAAATTAGCAAATTAAATGCGTTTGCATAATATTTCCCTTGGATGTCAATAATTTTTGTTCCCTATGCGATCGTTATACTCCCGCACTAGGAGACCGAGATTTGGCTAACGTCATGCTAGCTTCATATCGATGATCGGGCAATTGGCCGTCCGTCCACATACAACGAGCGTCATGTCAAGAGTGGCGTGTAAAAGATGTGATAATATCTTAAATGAAATTAGGATAAATCACATGGGCTCATTATGAGCAAAAAAAATAGTGCAATAACTTGAGTTTATGAGATGAGTAATCATGATTGATTGCAATTCCATCGTGTCACAAATACACATGCATGTACAGAGATGGAAAGAAAAAGAATCTACGACACGCACATCATGTTTTGCATTCATATACACACACAAACACATTTTCTTCTCTATCTTCTAGTTACACCTTTTGTGTAATTAAATGAATGCCATATTATTATATTATATGGTAGATATTTGTACGCGCGACATTCGTATGCTCTTAAGATAAGCCAATATACGCAATTCCCAACGAAAATGAACATTGTGCAATAACTTTCAATCTCAATAAATAACATGAAATTATAGTGCAATCAAGTGAAGTGATAGAAAGAGAGAGAGAGAGAGAGAGAGAGAGAGAGAGAGAGAGCAAGAGAGAGGACAGTGAGACCAACGACAAGAATAATCATACAGCAAACGCATTAAAGGCGTTGGCTTCTTTCAATTATATGTTTGTTTAGATTGTCGTCATGCTCAAAATTCGATTGGATCCGAAATTTGTGGTGCAAGATAGACATAAAATGAAGTAATTCATAAATGTGTATGCATACATTTTTGTAATGTCGCATTAGCAACATGCGATATCGAATATCATTCAGCATTTTCTCTTTACTTCATTTGATTACAAGCATTTATTGATCCGTGCGCAAATGTTCGTACGGTATTTTCTGCGTGCCTTTGACTTTCTTTCATTTACAAATGTCCGTGTTCGGTACATTTAATTTTGATTAATTTCTATGTAATTCGCTGTGCCAACAGAGGATAGAGAGTGAGAAAGTGTATCTCTCTGTGTCATTGGTTTAGTTTCATTACAAAACACCACTGATAATATCAGATATCAATTAGATTCGCGTAGGAATTATAAATCATTTAATATTCATGTATGTATTGACTTTATCTCCACACCGAAATGTTTAGTAACTTTCTAAACGCCAACGAAATCGATATGTTTAATCGTTGTGTAAATTTTTTTGAAAATTTATTTTTGAAAATTAATCGATAAGAGCAATAGCGGTTCACGTTTGCCTTCTATGTCATAAACTTCGAATGTTACGAGACGATTTGATGCACCAACAGACCACTGCACAAATATTGTCATGAATACTGTGTGTGCTATGTTAGTTTGTTTTCTGTGCACAATATGCGTCTTTACATTGAGAAAATCCTAATTCAACGGTGCAATACGGGGCCAATGCGTGTTAATGCAAACACACATCTTCTCGTATTGGATCAAATGTAAACCGAAGTGAAATGAACACTAACTTTTAATGAATAACATAAACATAAACTATTTGCTATGATATATAACATGAATTTGTAAATAGTGTATGGCACAATGTGTGTTATAGTCTCTTTTTTGATACCATTACATTTATGGTAAATGTACAATTATTAACCGGCGTGTTTACACCACCCGAGAATGAGAATGACAAACAACGGTCGTTCGCTCGCTCACTTTCTTCCTCTTCCTCACTTTGTCCGTCTATGTTGGATCTTTGTATCTATATCGTTGTTGGTTTGATAACAACGATAACGAAAGCAATAAAATGTCTATGATCTAAAAATGGGAATTGGGTTAAATGGAAGCTCACCATTTTTCATTCATTCTTCCAGATGAGCCATTCTCTTTCTCTCTTGTTCGCCTTTTTTTTATTTTTATTATCGCTTTTCTATTTGATCAGATGGTTTTGTTGCTTAGATATAGACATTCCTTTTGTCGCTTCGTTTATTTACATTTGTGTATATTTTCGTGCGATGGTATACCAGTTGTATACAATTTCCATTTGCACCTCGAACATGCGTTTGTCATATGTGTGCACATTGTTTATTTTGAGTGAGAGAACGATATTGTGTTTCGATGTGCACCGTGCAGTATTTTTTAAAACAATTCAATCGTTATCAATATTCATAAAATAATCAAAGAAAATTCAACGGAATGTGATGAAAATGTACTTGTGACGACATAACCACCATTTGTCAATTGAAAATTCTACAAAGAAATTTGATGTGACCGGATTCTTTGACCGTTACACAATGCATCAATTATTGATAGCATTAGTCATATAAAATCTCTGATGAAATAGAGGCAATGAACAAATCTGAATGTGCGCTGGGTAAATTGTTCAGGGACAAAAAATGTTTTGTTCTCGCGTGTGTGTTTGTTTTATTTTATGCCGCACAAACGAATATAACCATAAAAAATAAAAGAAAGAAAAAAAAATCAATCAATATCAAATGAACGCGATATTGTGAACTAGTTGTTGACGTCACAGTTCAGGGCTTGCATGAATTCCATTTAGTTTAAATTCAAATTGCCGACAAGTTCGATGTCGGCTGGTTTTTATTGCTTCAAGATAGATAGACACTCGAGAGAGAGAGAGAGAGAGAGAGAGAGAGAGAGAGAGAGAGAAACGAAAACACTACATTATAATTTTCCGATATCAAGAATTTGAATGGTTGCCACATGACTCCCACTAGTTTGCTATACATATAAATAGGCACATATTTCGACAAAGATAAATGCAAATGAATTATTGTTCTGACACTGGAAACAATTTCAAATGAAATGAAATCGACATGAATTAAAAACAAAACAAAAAAATGTACAAACAAAACGAAGAGAATTTTATGACGAACATACGAAACGATTGTGGAAAAATGGAAGTGAAACAATGTTCTAAGCGATTTTGATGTCATATGTCAGTGCCATATGTCATTCAATAAACAAATTCGATGAAAATATAAAACGCGTCGTTGTCGTTGTTTTTCGATTCATTTCAGATTTTCTTTAAATAACATTTTTGAACTACTTGCTGTAATAACGTGCGGTTTATTTTTTATATCATTCTTGTTACGTGTCCGAGAATTATTTTCGAATTAGTGTATTTCCTCGTTTTCTATATTAAAATTAAAATTACTCGGTAAACAAACTTAAGTGAATATATTCTTCGAAGGAGAATGCGCTCGATTTCCGACATATGACGGTTGAAATAATCTTTCTGGTTGTAATTGCAACTCTAAACATCACACGGATTAATTGGTTTCGCTTTGGATTTTTGAATGTAATTCAACCGAATGCCACACCATTTGCACATTAAATCCTTACTCTCTCTCTCCCCCAGTATTCCCCAAAATATCACGTTTTTGGCTTAAATGGATTGAATTGTTTCAGTGTGCAACGTCATGATGCACTTTGTTTCTGTTGTCTTTCAGTGGAAATATTTAATTTCGTTGTAAGAGCGCAAAACAGAGACGAAACCAAAATCAATCCTGCCATGACAACTGAAAGTCAGAACAATCATATTTTTTTGTATCATATTGTTTTTGTTACAATGAAAACAGATGTTGCTGGAACATCATTTTTCTATCTTTCTCTTGCTCTCGTTCTCTGTTCCGTTGCGATTGTAGGTTTTTGATGTGTCAGGGTGATTTACATAAGCACTAATCATACTGTAAGATTAAATGTGAATCATTGTGTTTTTTCTTAAAAAAATAAAAATAAATGACTATCTTATCTCTGAACATCGCTGAATTAGAGGGTGTATTCGTTGAATGCGCATTCTATCATAAATTTATAGCGTTAAAACGTTTGTGTGTTGCAATCATAAAAATGTGCAAAAAATGTCTATTGTTTTGTGCTTGGCGAATAATGGCCATGACATTTATTCCGTCGATCTATTCCGTCGCTAAACACAATGAGAGATCGTAAGCGACCGAGTAAAAGACAAAACGACCACAGCTTATGGGAATTGCCATAAATCAAATTCAATCGAGATCAATGCGGTTTTCTCGGTCCTTTCGTTCATTGTAAAGAAAATTCATCACAGCGTTCTTCGATAACGATTTGAAGATGAAAAAAAAGAATCCGAACCATCCGGTAGAACGTTGTACCGACGATAAATCTTACATGTTCAAATCATAGTATACCTTTTTATCCAAATTATAAAATGAAGTGCACGATAAAAGAGATGCGGTGAATTTTAGAAACGAATTCCAAATGCAACGAACAAAAAAATCCACGATTTTTCACGAAAACATTTTTTTGCTTTGTGTAAATGCAAACATGCCATTTATTTATATTGTCATCATTCAACAGCACGTCGTCATCATCATTTTCAAGAATGCGCGAGCTCGATAGTATCGAAATTACGTCGTACTGCATGCTGTGGCTATCATTAACAAAGAATGCAATGCACTTACTAGACGCTAAGAAACTCATTAACTTATCTTTGGAATTTTTTTATACTCTCTCGAATAGATATTTACACACTGTATTTTCTCCTATCACTTTTTATTTCTCGTTCCAATTTCACTGTTTTTGTGTTGAAAATGGATTTTTTTTTTTTTGAGAAAATCGATGAGAACAATCCAAAGTTATTCTTTGTTTTCGTTTTTGAACAATTGAATCGTATTTTGCAGACGGAATTTCACCACACGCTCTCACATTCAAAAGAAAATGCCACACAATTTAGTGGAGAAGAAAAAAATTCAATCGCACAAATTCATTAAAATGATACAAAGGAAAGATAAATAAAGAAAGAAAGAAAAAAAACAAAACTTCATTACGTTTGTAAATTATTTCTAATTAGAATCTAAATGGCATTCTATTTTTTTTAACTAAATGTTTTCTTGTCTCTTGTTTCAGGTGTCACAATGCGTGAGAAAAAAGGTGGTGCACTTCAAAAGCTGAAAAAGCGATTATCGCACAGCTTCGGAAGATTAAGTAAGTACTGTCTCTTTTTTTATATCTGTTTTCTTTTATCGCGGAATATTTTTTCTTACGAATCGATAGAAAGCCTAAAAAAACAAAGGCAAAGTAAGCGTGGTCTTAACGTGATAATTGAAATAAACGGACATCCGATTCATTTAACTAATTGGCAAAACAATTCACAGTTTTGTCCATAAAAAACCATTCATCAAATCGAACAGAAAATACAGTTAGCTCTTTTTATACACAATTAACTCAATGGATCCAATTAAAAATAATGTTGTCATTCAAATTGATTGATTTCAACTTACGGATTAGATAATCAACATCTTTCGATTCGGTTGTGTTTTTATTTTCTCGTGTTTGCTATCACATTCGAATCGGATCTGAGCGGTTTCCCGTGTGACGGGCACACTTCTTTTATTTTTCATGCCATTTGATTGAGTCATTTGTAGCCAACATAATCGTGATGTGGCAACATTTAAAATAAAAAAGAAACTACAGCAGTGATAAAGTGAGTACAATTTGTTCCGTAAGTGTGTTGGCATGGTAAATATTAGCCATGTGTATAATATGCATCTGAAATATCAATCAATTTGTCACTAGAAAATATCCGGGATTTGGTCAAACAGAGGACTTTGAGATTGAATCCAACATTTTTTTCGTGTCTTTCATTATTTGGCATCACTTGGCATCCATGATGTTGCGATGCTATGAATGTGCGACCATGTATCGAAGATCAAGAGAGTGAGCGAGCATCAAACCAACAATTGCACAAATCTTCTTAGTGCCAGCTTTGAATCTCTTATCTACTTATATATGCAATGCATTACGGTTGGAATAAAAGCCAAATAGCAGTCATTACTCAAAGGAACATAATCTGTGCAAAGCAGAAAGCATAAAAGCAATGGGCAGGAGCACGTGCGCGCGCGCACTCACACACACACCGGGAAAAATATGTAACTTGTATAGTATCCAAATGTATGTTTTGAATGGGTTCAGTTGGAGACTCACGCAAAAATAGACGCCGCATAAAATATCATGATGCTACTTTGCAATGCAATAGATTACATTTTGTGCCTAGATCTCGTTTCATTTTTTCCCTCGTGATCGATGTATGTGTGGTGCTGTGTCTTACTTTCATTCTATCATCGAATTATGTTCTTTTGTTGTGCATTTTGTTTGTACATTGTGACTAGTATTCTCTATTCATCTCCGTCTCCGTCTCCTCGTTCTTGCATATTTTTATAATTTCAAATTTAAATATCGTCTCTCTTTGCGCTTGTGTATTGCATTTATTGTTCAAAGTGCGTTCAATGTTCAGCTCTTGTATCGTCGTCGTTGCCGTCGCCGGCTTGAGAAACAACAACATAAAAAGACATGACATGTGCACATTGAGAAAAGGCAAACATAAATGAAAAGAAACTAAATGAAATCTTTCACTCGTTTGTTTTCTGTGTGTGTTTTTTTTTCGCGTGTCTTTATTTATTTTCTAGATTCGCCCCGGCAAAAATCAGTGCATTGTTTGATGTTGCTGATGCTGGTGTTTATGTATATGCGCTGCAACTGCAAATGTCGCCGGTTTGTCAGCAATTGTGATTGTGCAAACGGAAACGATTGTTTGGCACAAGTGCACTACCACACTCACACACATATATCGAAATCGATTCGCTAAACGCCCGAACGCTTATCCAGCTATTCATGCTGTAACTCTTTCAAATGGCAAATACATTGAAACACCAATGACAAACGAACAAAAACAAAACAAAAAGAAGAAACAACATCACCCATATCATCAATAACAACAGCAAACCACTTCGATCCAGTTGTTTTGATTTTATAATTTTTGTGTTGCCGGTTTGAAGTCATCATATCAAAGTGCAATGTTACAACAAAATTTCTCTTGATCGTGACTAAAGTAAAACAACAATACCATTCAAGCATAACGACAACATTTCAAATGCGGCAACATTATTTGTCGATGTTTACAATGGATGAAAAATCAATTTGTAGAAGCCAAATGTGCGGTGCGAACACACAATTTCCATTTCATTTCATGTGAATCAATCAGACAGGCGTGCAATATATGTGTTTTGTTTACGGTTCGGCATTTTTGCCTTTGAAATGTCCGTGGTATATATATGTATTGCCATTTTATCAGATGCAAAACATGGAAAATAGATGCAAAAACAATGCCGACAATGTCATGTCGCGCCAATAGAATAATATACAAATATCTTCAGATGATAAATATTAGATTAAATATTTTTCCATTCATTTCTCTTTCACTCTTTCGCTCTCTCTCTCTATCTCTCTCTCTGTCACTGACCTTCTCTGTACATCAATTGTTCGCTGAACAATCCCACTCGCACATTTCATTTAATTCTGATTTTGTCCTCGCACATTCTCGCTTAACAGTTCAATGACGCAGTTCATTTGAAGCGACCAGCAATTGGTATGCAATAAGTAAGGATAATGCAAGCAACGATATGCATTGGAAAATTTACATAAAATCTGATCAAACCAAATCAAATGGAAATTATAGAATTTAATTTGATGAATGTAATATCCATTTGATGGCGGAAAGAGTTTATTTTTTTGTTCTTTTTTCTTTCGTTCCATCTCCTGATATTAACGGCACTCAAATAGAGTGCGCATTTCCATCAATTGTATGCATTTAAATCAGTGATGTTTTCACTCATCGTGTACACAATGTTCGACCGTTAATTATTCATCAAAGACCAAAACAAGTCTTGCACATTTTGTGCATTTCATTAGCAGAAAAAAAACACACTCACATACATTATCATATTTAGTGCTTTGTTCCGTTCGTTCATTCTATCGTCTCTCTTTGTGATTGTAATCGTTACGTTCATTAGATCGGTTGATCTTTTGACATATCATCAGATTTGCTTGCGCAATTCTTTTTTTTTATATTCATTCGCTGCACACTCTATCGACTAATTGTTCGGGAAGTGCGTTAGATTTCCTCATTCGAATTTGTACATTTGCTTTATTTTGCATTTCACTTCGTCGTAATGCTCATTACGTTAATCTCTTGACTGTTTTCTTTTTAAAATTCCAGTTACGGAAATGAACATCGTCAAAACAAACAAATTCTCATACAGTTGCCATTTGAGACAAGCAAAGCAAAATAAAACGCAAATTTAAAGCAACCAGATTTTGCTAATTACACATTATGCATTGAATATTCAAATGTCAAGAGTATTTTTGTTCTCATTTTGCTTTTCCATCGTCATGGATTATGATAATCTTTAACAGATGATAGAGCATTTGTTTTAATGGTCATTTTATATTTTGAAGTTGAATAGAAACTTGTTTGAACACATTTCAAATAGAAATAGAACTAGTTCAAAATGATTCCGCGTATATTTATATGCTGTTGTTAAATCGGTCGATAACTTTGTTGGTGTTCTCTTTTTCAATGGCATGATAGATAGAGGAACACAACAAAATGAACTTCGTTATTTGTAAATGTTAGATTAAAATGAATCATATAATGCGGAAAAGTCGCATTTGCCAAATTGGTAAAAATATGTAAAATATTTAACAATGTGTTGGGTTTGCCGGAATTTTGTTGGGTTCAGGTCGAAATAATATAAACCATTATATTGTGTACATTTAAAACCAAACTCTATAATGAATGGGTTAAAAGCCGATATTTTTTTTTTTTGTTTTTGCGTTTTCGTTTGCATTTCCATTAATTATTTTTAATTTAAACGCGCAAACTATAAATTTAAATTAAAACACACACACAAAAAATAAGGGACACGAATTAAATACGACCATTTTTTGTGTATGGTTGTCATCGAGTTTTTATAACATTTTTTTTAAAATACGACATTGTGTTTTACAATCAATTTGTTTGATTTTTTATGTGCCTTCAGTAAAATTTCATCTGTTATTGATACATAAATCCAAAAATCTCATCTCGTAGCGAAGACAAATAAAGTTCAATCAAACAAACCATTTCCAGCACAAATGATAAGTTGGAATTTATATTTTTTATCATCAAACGATTTTTTTAAAATCATATCATCGTAGTTACGATGGTGGCTCTTAGAGGAGATTATGAATGTTTTTTCTTCCATTTTCAATAGTTCACCGAAACGAAAACGAAAAATCCAAATGAAAGATTTATCGCCGAGACAATGGTAAAGTAAATAAGTTCCTAACATTGTTGTATTTGTACACGCCAACAGAGCGGCATTTTTTTTCTTCAAAGAAAGAAAATTCAAACTCCATCTTGCCGAAGTTGACTGTGAAAAGCAGATAATTCTTTATGTTGTTGGTTCGTTCAGTTAGTTTTTTTTCTTCATTCCACTTTTATTTCTGTGTTGGCAAAGATTGCCATTTTATGAGGTTCTTGGAATGTAATCCTGTTCGGCGTACGCGCTTCGCTCGATAAACAACGATAAATGAAAAAGTTTACACACAATTTTTCAAACGTTGTCGTCTTCATTTGTGTTGTTGTTGTTGTTTTTTTTGGATGTGTTTGTGTGCACTTCATTCCAGTTTTTGATTCGTCAACAGTACTTAAGTTACATTATAATTTCACACTTAAAATTAAAATAGTTTTTGAATGAAATTGCTATGCAATTATGCAAACGGTTCGTATATTTATGAGCAAAATGCTTAGCTTCATTCTGTTTTATACTGTTGTCTGGTGTAGTGGCGCATTATCAACTTTGTACATGAATCATATGGCTATTTATTCATAGTGGCGTGAACACAATTCACGAGCTCAAAAGACCGTGTTCAAATGATCGAGATGTTGTTTTTGTGTGGGAAAGAAAAAAAAATGGACCGCGCACTTGCTATTTAAATAAATAAAAAACTTCATCGCGAAGCGGTCAGAACAAAATCATCACAAAAACGACGATAACAACAGTTCCAAAACAAGCAATGTTAAAAAGAACCATGATCCCAAATGCAACGGGAGAAAAGAAGAAAACAACACGAACAAGACCGCAAATGAATAGTTGCTACGCTTT